TATAAGAAAGTTTTTTTTTCTAACAGTGGTCGCTCACCGGCAGGCAGAGGCAAAGCTCCGAGTGTATTTTTGCCTTGAAAAAGCTTTCCATAACATCCATTTGCTGTTCTGAGGCATCGTAAAATTTTAACACACATCCAGTTTTCTGCCAAAACACTTAGCAAAAGTGTAAGCGTCAAAATATAATTTGTATTATAATTGAAATTTTTTATTTTTTTTGCTTAAACAAGTATTTACATGTTGATTTTTTCTTTATTTGTTTATCTAGGGCTTATATTCAATACAATTCAAACTATCCACTACTGGGTCGCGGAAGGGTTACAAGTGAGACGCAAATCGAGCCTAAAACTATCAGACACAATTGAAAAAACCATTAGGAAAGATAAGAATTGACGTGTTAGTTCAATTGAAAGAGTTCCAAAAATCTNTTTTCAATTAGTATTTTTGAAAAAATTTGATGTTACTTAAGCATTAATATACAAACGAGCACAATTACAACTTGGCTATTTACCTAAACGAAATTTTCTCCAAATATTTTATCCGAACCGAAAACCAAACCACTTTTTATAAAAGTCTAAATCAATTTTCACTAGATACATTTTCTCCGCCTTTTTTGTTTTTTTCTTTTCGTTTCGGTAATACCATGTTTGGTTATCAATATAAAATGTACAGATCAATGAAATAACAATCCATCTCATTTGACAGACACTTGATACCTAAACAAGATTCTCACGGGCCCTCTTATGACATTGTTCGCTTCTGAAATACCATTTTTATACGACACGTTCTTAATTCGATTAGGGAGTTCATTAATTTTCCTTCATATAATATATGTAAAAAAAGTAACACAAATACATACATACATACATATGTATATGTACATAGTTTTTTTCGAACTACCGAACCGTTGAATCGACCCGAAACCCCTTTCAAAGACAAAAAAAACGCTTTGACGAAGCAATCCAAAATTTGCAAAAACGGTTAGAACTCCTGAACCGAACCGCCAAAATTTTTCATCCGATTAACGTCCCTGCTTTATATACATACATTTTTGAGCACAAAATTTCTGTTTAAAGAGCAGATAAATCTTAAAATCTTCTTGATAAAACGGCCCTTAATCGAGTTAAACGATTATTTTTTAAGCGTTGAATCTTGGGCCTTATATTGATCGCAAAAAATTACGCCGGCGCCCGCTTTCATCATGTTTTCTTTTTTCTGTGTGGGATTTCTAAAAATTTTGATTTAAAAAATCTCAATTTCACCAGTTTTTCATAGGTTTTTGCAAATATTTAGCACCTAGTTTTATTTGAAATAAATTGATCAAATTAATACATGAATAAGAGGAAAAGTTTTGTAATAAAATTTTTGACAAAATGCCATAGAAATGAGAAACTTGCAAAATGGCTTATGTTTTAGACTTTCTTAAGGAAAATTCCTAATTATTGCTATATTTTTTTTTTTATTTCAAAATAGCAATTTAAAATTTAGCCAGCGGGCATATTTTTCTGATGCATTACTGACTAAAAACAAATTTAACCTTTAAAACCTCGGTTGTATGCTCAAACACTTTGCAGTTCAGTGGAGAGTGGTGGTATTTTTGCAAATCTTAAACAGAATTTCAGTTAGATTTCTTTGAGAAGACAATAGTTTCACAAATAGAAAGCTAACACATTCGACAATGGCGTAAACTGTCTTTATTGTCTAGTATTTGTCCAACTGGCGACAGAAAAAGTTACTCAGTGTTTTCTCAGTATTTAAAGAAATGATCTCTTAATATTTCATATTTATGTCTGAGATAACGAACTTATTTTGATTTGTTATTGTTCCACTCGAGACGATGTAATAATCTGTATGATATTTTTCGCTTTATCCTATAATTTATATATAGTCAATATAACAAGGTAGCAAAGAAGAAGAAAAGAAAAAATTTGCAAACAAAAATTTTTTATTTTCGATCTGATATTGATTAATATAAAATTTAAAATAACTTGTTATGCTATGGTTTTACGCAATTATTATTTTCTCTTCTTCTTCTCTACTTTATTGGCGCTGTAACCGCCTAAGCGATTTTGGCCGAGTCCAAAACAGCACGCAGTCATTTCTCTTCTGTGCTAAGTGACGCCAATTGGAAATGCCAAGTGAAGCCAAGTCCTTCTCCACCTGGTCTTTCAAACGCAGAGGAGGCCTTCCTCTTCCTCGTTTCCAGCTCGCGGCCGCGTTGAATATTTCAGAGCAGGAGCGTTTCTGTCCATTCGAACGACATGGCCAAGCCAGCGGTGCCGCTGAATTTTAATTCGCTGCACTATGTCTATATCGTTGTATTTTAGTGTAACTAAATTCGACTTGACGAACAGGTGGCAACCAAATATATTTAAGCTAAACCTTTTCAAACCTCTTTCGTCTGACTCCCGTATGGTGATACCTATCTATTTCAATTACCTAATTCCTTTAATTAAAGTGGAATTTGATTTTTTTAAAAGGTGGCAACTCTCTACATGTAGTTCATACACATTTCGATTGATACCCATCTCCTAATAATTCATTTAACTTATAAAAAATAGTCTAATCTAATTTTTTAACAGGTGGCAACTCTTAAAAAAAAAATAAAATAAACCTTCTAGTATCCACAGGCCAAGCTTTTTAATCTGACACTTCATTTTTGAAAATGGAACGAATCTTGCAGATCTCAAGGCACTGACAAAAAATGAATAAATTATTTTATCCATTAGCGAAAAACGCATTACTTCAGAAAGTGCAAAAATGAGCAGGTTTTTATTTCTTCTTTTGAAAGCTAAGAGCCC